AAAATACAAGTGAAATTGAGAATAGGAGCAAAGATATATTTGTGTCTGAGGAGGCAGGCAGCCTCAATATAAAGCACCAAGACCTCAGTATAGATACCACGATACCTCCTCAGTATAAAGCACCAAGACCTCAGTATAAATACCATGATACCTCCTCAGTATAAAGGACCAAGACCTCAGTATAAATACCATGATACCTCGTCAATATAAAGTACGCATTATCCAGGAATGGTGATTTTGCTAAAATTGCAGATTCTGAGTCCCCAGAGAAGAGGCTGCAGTGTTTGCAAGGCTCTGTCAACATCTGACACAGAAACCCTGGCACCTGGACACTGCTCCCATCAAGGCCTCTCACTCGAGCACGCTCGGTTTGTTTTGTAATTTATCCTTAATAAGAAAATGTTGAAAAGATGCAATTCTGGCTGGGCATCAAAGGCAGTGGAGCTGTACATGGACAGCCTTGTTTACAATGTGACTGTGCAGTGTGACAATTTACAACCCAAATTTATGTTGCTATTGAGTGTGGCCTTTTTTTTCTCTTGAAAACTGGTATCTAAGTGTGTTTACAATGATAATTGTTCACACAGAGAAGCAAAAAAAGAATGCAAGTGTGGTGAAAGCAACACAAGGAAGGTGATGCTGTGCAGGTAAAGTAATTTCAGAACTTCCTCAAATGTTAAGCTGATGAAGATGAACATTAATTCTCTTTTGGAAGGAAGATTGAGGTAGAACAGATGGGTTGGTTGCCAAGAAAATGGTTTGAAAGCAAGTAATGTGCATGTTGACATTTCCTGCTTTTACATAATTATTTTTTAAATAACTTATGTAATTGCCTTGAGTGGAATGATTGTGTTCATTAGTGGGATATGAAGAGAATCATTTCCAGCATCTCAGAAAGGTTGTGTTGTGCTGTACCTCTATTCTGTGCATTGAATCATCCCAACACTTGCATTTAGTTTTTTTCTGACAAAGCAATGTGCCATGACTTGAACAAAGATCCAGCAGCACCTTTTTCTTGCCATGTGTGCAACTTGTTCCACCTGGAGGGGTAAATGTGAGCAGGATTTTGTTCACATTCCCATGGGTGCCCATTTGGGGTGGAAAATCACGGACCCAGGGCACGAGGTTCATCTCCCTCTCCCTCTGAGCACAATTACAATTTGTTGGCTCATCCCACTGTCCCTCCTTGAGAATCAAATCCATGAGGCAGGTCTGGAGCAGAGGATGGTGGTGAGTTGAAGGCCAAGGAATATTTTCCTTCAGGCCCCTCTCAGTATCTGTCTGTGTTCTTCTCTCTGCTCCCAGATTTTCCCTGTGAAATCCCACTTTCCTGCCTCAGTACACCCCATCCCAAGCATCCTCTGTGCACAAGGTTCTGCTGCTTTGTTTTGGAATCCACCTGAACATTTGCTGTGTGTGGAGCCAGAGTGTGTGTGATTCAGAGGTTGGTCACTGCCAGCTGTGCCCTGTGCCCACTCTCTGCCCCTGTCAGGTCCTCACCTTCCCCACCTGCCCATTTAGGGGTGATAATTAATCCTCCCCTGCACCAGACAGGTCTGGGCAGTGCAGAAGAGCCCTCCTTGTCCCTGGTAATGATGCTGTGATCACCTGCCAGCTCCACAACGCCTGGCACCACCTATTTGCTCTCAAGGAGCTCTTCCAGCAGCTGTCAGATGCTAATGAAATGCTTCAGCTGCTGAAACAACCTGTGCCCTGTGCAAACCAGGGGGCACAGCCTGGAAATGGGCATAAATATTCATGACTATTCATAATGGCACTAAAAAACCCAAAAGTGTGAGTGTGGTTATCAGAGCTCGTGTGTGGATGTGCTGTGATGGGTTCAGAGTGATGAATGCAGTGTGAATGTTTTGGAATAATGCTGTTATTTTTGCAGTTGTGAGGAAAAACCCCACTAAAGGTAGTGGGATGGCAGGGCATGTGGGTAAGAGCAGATTTGTACCCCTGGGTGATGCAGGAAGTTTGGAATCGGGCAGTGCTGTCTCTTGTGGGCGATGCACTGAAATTTGTTCCTGACAGAAGGGAGTTGCTGTTTGCTCATTCTGCTTCCATCTCTGTTCTGAACCTGCTCATGAAGAATTGAAAGTTTCTCTCCAGATCTGTGCTGGATGCTCATGGAACACAAATCCCACAGACTGAGTTCAGTGTTTTGCTTTCTGAGATAATTAATGTCAAGAATAGTAATGTGTCTGATTTGGTCAGGAGTGGATAATTTCCCACCTTTCAGCACCCTGAAGCCTCAAATCTTTGACATCAGAAGACAAATGTGAGTCAGTCTCTTTAGACAGAGTGCTTTACAAATTAATTCTGTCAATGTGTCTGCATTGGGTTTTTTAAAAAATAATTTTGTTTGTAATGTGCTTTTTCAGAAATAGCCCTGCTGAGAGGGGACAAGGATGATGTTCCTCTTGGAACCCTTTGTTGTAAATCCCCTCAAGGTAATCAGAAGCCAGTGATCCCTCTTTGCTCGTGTTTCTCTGCCATATCAATAACTTGCACTAACTTTCAAAGTCTGTTGATTCTGGGGAGTCTAATGCTGTGTCTTTATACATCCCTTACCCCCTCTGCCCAGAGTGAAATTTACCATTAAAATTCACTGAAAAGCTGCTTTTTTAGGATTGCATAAACAGGTGCAGAGCTGGGCAGGGATGAAAAAATCAGTCCTGAGAACTGTTGGAATGCCACTGGTTTTACTTATGAGAGCTTCAGTGGGAAAAATTCCCCCTGTGGTCTGGTTCTTATGTGCAGTGACTCCACTAAATACTGCTAGAAACAGATAGGATTCAGTCTTGAGTGAGTTTGGCCATATGAGAAATATTTATTGGGTGTGTGGGAACAGGACAGGCACCCAGCTGATAAAGTTCTTCTGAATCTGAAAACAATCATAAATTTGTGGTGGGACCTTCATTACCTTGAACCATTATCCATATAGCCTGGGTGTGTTTATTTTTCTGGGGAAGAAGTCTTGTGAAAATTAAGTTAATTCATTGTCTCAGATAAAGAATGACATTTTAGTTGGAAATCGTTGTCATAATAGTTGCACAAAAGGATTCAAATATTCTGCAGCTTGGTACAAATAAAATGTTCAAAGATACAGGTGTTGTTCCTGAGCCATCAAAGAGTTTTCCACTGGCACCACAGTGTTTTATTAAAATGAAAAGAAGAGAAAAGATAAAAACCAAAGCCCTGTGCTAATCTTTTGCTTTGTTGCTTAAGGGACATTTCAGTATAAAGCAGCAATTTCCATATCATTTGAATAGCAGTTGCAACCCATTGATGTTTAAAGTGAAATGTGCAGCTCCTGTAATCAGCAGAGCAGATGCAAATGTCTTGTCTGTTTGCAAGTGCAGCTCCCTGCTTGCTGCTCAGTTAGGTTTGGAGTGGAAAGCACCATCAGATAATGAAAATCATCATGGGAGCTCCTCTTTCATCTCCTGGCTGCAATGGTTTGCTCCAAAGCAGCTGGAGTGAGCCTGGCTGGGGCTGCAGAAATCCCAGAGAGGTGGGAAAGGGACACATCTCCCACCCTGTCCCTGCCCCTGGGGACAGGAATGGCCTTTGGGCTCTGCTTGTGCCCGGTGCCATCCCAGTCCACGCCTCTGCACACTTCTGTAAATTAGCAATCACTAAAATAAATGACATTTGGCGTTCAGACCGTGGCCAGTGGTTTTGGCTGGGCAGGGCAGCAGGTTAGGTATAAAACCCCACTGAGCTCCTGAGCACTGCCATGCCAGCCTCGAGGTGGCTGGAGCTGCTCCTCAGAGGGATTTTAAACTCTAAAAATAACCTGCCGTGGAATGAGGGAAGAGTTTACTTTATCCTGCGCATTTCCAAATGTGACAGAGAACACTTCCATGGTGCTTTCTGTGCCTGCTGTGCCTGAGCTGCTGGCCCAGGTCAGACAGGGGTTCCATCAGAATGGTTCCTGGGTGGAGCTGCCCTCCTAGGAAAGGGAAAACTTCCCAGGAAAACTTGGGTTTGATCAAATCAAAATCGATGAAGCCTCCAAAAGAAGTTGCTGGTAGGATGAGAATCCTCCTTTGCTTCCTCTAGAACATTTTCCTGGAAAGAGAAATTTCTCATTAGTACTTTTCCTAATCAGGAGACATCTTGTGGAAAAGGATTTCCATCTTGTGGTCAGCTGTGGTAGTAAAACGCTCCAGCTGGACTTTTTTTTTCATAGCAAACCAAACTGGTTTCAATCAGAAATAATGCAAATCTGTTGTAGTTCCTTGTGAAGGGAAATGCTGGAGACCTCACAGAGTCTGTTTGTACAGAGGGTAAAACTGTTTCAGGACTATCCCCCTTCATCTTTAGAACTAAAATACTTGGGAAAGGTATAATATAAATGATTCATGATGGAATATTTAATTTTGACACATTATACAGCATGTTGGCCTGAGAAGCCATGCACAGGAGCCCAGACAAAATTACATGGAACTTTAACAGAAAGGAGGCAATTACTGAGGAGGCAATTTCCCTGAAGTTCTGGGAAAATTTCTATCCAGAGCCAAATATTGTTGCCTGGATTGTTTTCTATTCCAGGATGGCTCTGAGTCTCATTGCAACGTCATCAGAACCTCATGCAGACATTTGTTGTACAGGACAAATTTTGAAACCCGTCCTCTGATCTTGAAATAGCAAAATGCTGCAGGGTTAAGTGCTGGAGTTCACTGGAAAATCCACCCACTTCAGTGGGAAAGACTTTTTAATACATTAAAAAAAAAACAAATTTGGAAAGGTCCTTTTACATACTGAGGACTGTGGTTGAAGGGCAGGGCTGTGTGTGCTGGGGAGGTTTTGAGCTCAGATCTTGTGGGGTGCTCTGTAAATGACCTCAGTTGTACAACCCTGCAAGGAAAGGTGAGGCTGTTAAAAGGAATAATTAATTTCTTAATTTTAATCACTGCCTTGTCCAGTTGTGTGCTGTGATGCTCGTGCAGATTGCACTGAAAATCTTCTGACTTCAGCAAGAGCTGGGTCAGCCCTGAATATTTACAAGGAGAGTTAATAACATCTCAGATCAAATTCTTAGAGATAAATGTAAGAACTTCATAAGTATTTTTTATTTTGAGGGCTTGTAGCTAAAGGAGATGTTCAGTGTGTTCCTTAGTGGGTGCCAAAAAGCTTATTTTCAGAAGTGTCTGAATTTCAGGGAAAGTCAATAACTGCTATATTTAATCTGAAATTGCTGCAACTGCTGCTGAAATCCATCTATATCCATTTTGTAGGAATAATAAGGAAAAAAATACAGCAAGTTTTGGTTCCCACACCCTCAGCTCTTCAAACTGTGAGGAGGAAGGTGAGTACAGGTGCTTTGGGCAGAGCTGGCTGGGTTTTTTTTTTTTTTATTTTTATTACCAGTTGTTTTTTTCTTTGGTTTTGTTTTTTCCTTTGGTTTTGTTTTTTTCTTTGGTTTTGTTTTTTCCTTTGGTTTGGTTTTTCCTTTGGTTTTGGTTTTTCTGCAGTTCCCAAGCCCTGGGCCAGTGCTGTGACACCAGGCTGCAGCCTTCAGCAGCAGCAGCCCAGAAATGCTGGTTAATCACTGGTTTATTAGCTCGTGGCCTTAGGCAAACCTGAAATCATTAACAGCCCATTTGTTGGGCTAATGACTCTTTTTTACTAGATGTATAATTTAATATATGGTAGCTTTCATGCTTAATTATGATCTTCAAAGTTTCTTTTGAAGGAATTTATTTTTCTGTGTGCATGTGTATGAGAGGGTTGGGAGCTGGCTGGCTTTGCTTGCATGCTGCTGTGTTAAAATCTGGATAGTTTATGTAAGAAGATTTTAATTTAGATATGGGTATTTCCCCTGTTGCTTGCTCTTTCAATATTTTTATCTTTGAGCGTTTGAAAAATAAATAATGATGAGTTACCAACAGGTTTAAAATAGCATCATTTCATGCCCCACTGTAGGTTGCTGCATTGTTTTGGACCTAAAGACCTAAACCCAAAGTCCTATCAATGGGGCCATTGTGGCAGCAGCTTCCAAATGAATGCAAGTCTTGATCTCAGTGTCCTGGCTGGTTTCCAGCCTGGTTCACATTTTACTCAGCAGCAAGTCCCACTTCTGTTCCCTGTAACCCCAGTGGGAACAGAGGCAGAGGGCTGCTAATCCCACGTGCCATTTGCATGCAGTGCTTGTAAAGCACCCTGGGATCACTTGGGATGGAAAAGGCAGTGCATGTGAGATGCTTTTCACTGGCATCCCAAATCTGCTGCCCTGTCACTGAAGAGAGGTGATGACTTTGTCAATCAGGAATTTTTTTTAATTTTTTTTAATTTTTTTTTTTTTTTAGCGAGGCAGCTGATTGAGAAGGATAATAAAGATGAATTTGATTTTCTTTCTGTGAGCTCTAGTGTCCCCTTCATGGAGATTAAAAATTTCCCGGTGCTGTTTCCAGCTCCACAGAGCAAGCAAAAGCTGATCTGGCCATGCCCACAGCCCTGCCATCCTCTGACAGGATCGCCATCCAGCTGTGACTTAGCAGGCACCGGGACAGCATAATCCTGTTTATTCGCCCATCCAAAGCACCGATGAGCGGAGATAATCGGGGCTGGAGCAGGGGAGGAGCAGGGATGGGTTTGCTGTGCCCTGTGGTTGGTCTGGCAGGCACAGAGTGCCAGGGAAGGGCTCAGTCCTGTCGCAGAGCAGGGAGGGACCAAAAACACCCCCAGTGCAGAGCCAGCCTGTGAAACAACAGCCTTGGCAGGGTCTGATCCAGATGTCGTGCTCAACAATTCTAAATTGTTCCTTTTGTGGCTGATTTAATCTAGAAATCCTCAGAGTCTGAGGGGCCACGTGAGGCACTCTGTGCACCATGCTTTGGCTGCCAGGTGGCAGAGATTGTGTGTGAGTGCCTCATTTCCCCATGCTCACTCTCATTCGGAAACCTACACCTACCTTGTACTTGGATCTAAATTTGCCAAAATTACACCCTTTTTTTTGCTATTACAATTTTGCTGGGCATGAGGCACAGCTTTTCATAGGATGCTGAATATTTGTAAGCAGCCCCTGGGTCTGTGGGGATGTAGGAGCACATTCTGCAGAGCCCCTCCCAAAAATTTAAATATACTCTGGGAGGATTTCCTCGGTGACTTAGAGCCCTGAAACTGGGCTGTACAAAATCTCTGGAGACAGCACAGTAGTGAGCTTTCAAATGACTTTATTTTCTTGTTCTTGTGATCATTAGAGCTCTCACACTTCATATTCTATCCCATTAATGCATTGGCTGGGTTTCAGTGAAAGGCCCCATCTTCACTTGGATGCTATCTCAGTGTTTAGCAGTCAATACTTTCCTGTTGCAGTGTTTGTAACCTCAACTTTTACAGCTGGCATGAGCCATGGATTAACTTCAAACAGGGATGCTGATTTTGAAGCCTCATTTAATGTTCTCTGAGCTGTCCTAGTGCAGATGACAGGTTTATAGTTTGGGAAGCCAGTAGCAATGGCTGAGCTCTTTATAACTACAGAACTGTGTTAGGTGCAGCTCCTCACCATGGTGACACTGCAAATATTGAACACAAAGTGATTCATGGGACCCAATATAATGCTCACTTTGATTAATATTTTACACTATAACTGGCTTTATTTAACTTTTCAAACGTGAGTGGGTTGGGAAAGGACAGAATGTTGCTATGTATAATTTATGGGGGCTCATATTTGCGTGCTTGTTTTAAAAATTAAATTTAAAAAGTATTGTTTGTTTTCTCCTCTCCCTGCTGGCGGATGTTCAGGCCCTTGCGGGGCTCATGGGGATTTTCTGAGTGTGAGTGTTGAGTGATGGGCTCTGAAAAGTGATGTTCTTGCTCTCCTCCCTTTGTATTCCATGCAGGGCTGTGTCCTTGCTGGAAGTGCTTTGGGATACCCTGAGCAGAGAGCCCATGGTGCACCCTGGCCATCAGACCCCTCAGACCTGAGGTTCAGCCTTATTTCCCTGCAGAAATGAAGTTTTGGGTAAGTAACTCCAGATTCCTCACTAGAGCTGGCAGGAAGTAAAGGAGTGTGGCAGTTGCAGAGCTTTGGGGCAATGCAGGAAATGAGTAATTAGGAAATTAGCCCCAGGGCTGTACTTCTGAAGTGGAATGCTGTAATATGAGCATATTCCAGGTTTCCATGCGTTTTGACTGGAATTTATTGCACCTAAAAATCAATCTATAGACTAAGAGAGAGGATGCAGCAACCCATCTACTTAAGACGTGGCCACAGCATTCTCAGAAATGAAGATGTACAGGGTCCTAATAATCTAAGAAATCAGATTATTGTGAGACAACCCTCTGAAAAAAAACTTTCTCATTGCTCAGGTTCTTCTATAAATTTCCCTCTTACAACTAAGAGTTCCTCTTGTCATTTTTACAACCATGACTGTAAATAAGCAAACATTATAAAATGTGTTAAATTCACCAGCATTCTTCTGCAAGCAGGGAAAAGAATGCCCATTATTAACTCCTGTTTGCCACAAAGAAGTGCCCATTAGTGTGTGTCCAACCCCTTTATGTAAAACTGAGAGCAATGAAGTCACAGAGCTTTTATTTGTCTATGTTGAGTCCTGCAGAGATGGCAGAGGAAAAAAATCCTGCATTAATAAAAGAATAAATTCCTCTTCACATTAACATAAAATGCTTCTGCAGTGATGAAAAGATTTGGGCTTGCTCCAGTGTGGTTTTCCCCGTGTGGTTGGGTTTTGCATTTCTTTCAACTTGCCCTTGGAATCCATTTCCAGTTGGGTTTTTTTCCCCCCTTTCCAACCTGACATATAACATGATGTTACAAATTCTGACCTGTGACAGCTTGAGGAATATTCATGTGTTTGGACAAAATATCTTGCCTTCCAAGTCAATTTTAAATGCTATGGAAATGTTTTGCTCCTGAGGTTTTGTTTGTCATTGTTGGTTATTAAAATCCTCTGCCCGAGATCAGCAGTGACACAACAATCCTTTGCAGGAGGCATTTTCAGGGATTTTGCATGGATAGCTTCCAGAGGGGGTGATGGAGAGGAGAGGAACATTGAAATAGGAATTTTTTTCTATACTATTTCAAAGGTTTCTTTTTCTTTGCAGCCAGAAGTACCCATGAGTTGGATCTGGAGCTGCTCACAAGCCTGGCCCTGCCTGATGTCAGAGGACAACCTCTGTGAGTTTGTTTTCCTTCCCTGTCCTCACCGCTGGGAATATGCCATGATTTAAAACCAGTGTGCCATTAATGCTGAGGGACTGACCTCATCTGCCAGAACAAGTGTTTTAGTGCTGCCCCAAGTTCAAACCAATCAAAAGGTCAAACTTGTTTGAGGCAGGGAGTGATAAGAGGGGCGATGGGAGCTCGTTCCCTCTTGTTGGAATTAAGCCAGGCTGGCTTCAGGAAAATCTCCAGCTAGGATGGACCCTGGAGAACAGAGACAGATGGGAAATCAGGGCTGAGCCTCCCTTGCTGGAGACTGAGAATTCCCATTAAATGCAACAGAAGAAAGGCAGACTCTGGAGAATGGGACTGTGGGTCATTCTCCTGGTGAGGGCTCTCAGAGACAGCTCCCAGTGCCTCAGTGTTGGTGGGGGTTTTGGCCAGCTGATGGAATGGACTGGGAGGGGGAAAGGGGATTTTCAGCCTGAAAGGTTTGTCCCTGTGAAGGAGGAAACACTGAGGTTATTTTGTAGTGCAGAGAGCTCAGAGCAGCTCTCTGGCCCTGGGGGTATCTCTGGGCAGGTGGGATGTGCAAAACCTCTGGTCAAGTTTGAGGGAAGTGGCACCTTCAGCTTATCCCCTTTGGGGAGGAAGATGGAGCTCACACCTGCTCAGTTGAGCCTGGAACAGAACTTTTTCCCTTTCCAAAGGCAGAGCTTTTCCCTCTCAGTGTTTTTTTTCAGTGCAGGGGAGAACAGGGAAAACTTCTCAGTGGAAAACCCTGCTCTGGTTCTGTGGGGGGCTGCACTGCACCCTCAGCTGCTGTTTGGAAAACTCTTTCCACAATGTGTAATGGCTGCTTTTTCAAGGGTCTAATGGCTTTATTTAAAACCAACAAAACAAAAAAAGAGAGAGAGAAGAGAGAGTGAGAAACTTAGAGTCTGCTGCTGCCATATGAATTATGGTGGGGGACATTGCTGGGGAGCCCATTAGCCTCTGTGGCCTCTGTGGCACATGGCCATGCTTTCATAAGCTTGTGAGAGATGGAGTTTTTCTATATAGTTTTGTTTTTTTTTTTTTTTTGGTCAAAGAAAGCATTCTCCAAGGGCTGACTACAGACAGAATCCCTGGTCTTTTTGGCAGAATTCCCTGGTGCTTACACAGCCAGGTTTTCTGTGCTCCAGCTCTGGTGTGTGACCCATGCTTTCAACACATCCAGGGCCAAATGAGGATCTTTTGGCTTGGGGCTGAATCTGACCATTTTCCTTCTGCAGGAAAGATGTCAACAATTCTATGGGTGGGAGAAGAAATGTGACCTTCAGGATGAGGAAAGGTGGCCAGGACTTCCGAGCTGGCTCTAAGAGGAAGGATGAGGAGCAAGGCACAGAAATCCAGCTCAGGAGGGCACTGCCCATTCTGCCCCTGGGTCAGGGCTCTGCTGCTTTTCACTGCTGCCCAAACCAGCAGCACTGACACTGACAATGGGGATTTTTCCGAGCTCTTGCTCATCACACCAGATGTGCCTTGTGCTTTTTTTTTCAAGCTCATTTGAATGTATGTAATGGACTTCTGGCTTTGAAAAAATCATCAGTTACCAGATGTCTTTTGAATTGTCTACCTTGCAAAACTGTCCGTTACCAGATGTCTTTTAAATTGTAAACCTCTGCTGTCAGAGGTTAAAGCTGTGTCAAAACAGTCACTGATATGAATTCATATTACACTTTAAATGCATGATGATTTCCTCCAACTCTTTCCCCTTTAAAAGCCTCTCATGGAAATGTTATGGCTCACCCAGGATTTGTCACCCGCCCATCGCTAGAGATTCAGTGATAAATGCTTTTAATAATTAACAGTGGCAGGAGCTTTGTACCTCTGTCTCGTGGATATCTCACCTCTCAGACAGCAGAAATAAAAGCCTGTTGTAACAGGAAGAGTAATGATCTGGTGTAAGGCTCCTGCAGCTGCACCACCAGTGCAGATCTTCTACAAGTGGAGCTGTTTGCCAACAGGATTTTGTCCTGGGCCCAGCTGGGAGCTCAAGGCAGCTGGAGAAGCAGAGATGCCTGCAGAGTTCCTGAGGTAAAGGAGGTTTGGGGCTGTGTGGGGCTGGGAAGGGCTGAGCAAGTCAAAAGGACAAGAGGGTTGGGTTTGAGTTTCCTTCTGAATCCGACTCTCCAGGGTCTCATCCAGGCTCTGTGCTGGCTGCCAAAAACCCAGACTGAGAGGCTATTTTGGGATGCAGCAACACCAAGTGTTACTTCAGAGATGTTTGGAGAGAGATTTAATAAAATCAACTAATAAGGTTTGACGTGCTGAAGATTAGGAAAAGTCATGCCGAGCATCCGAGCTGAGCTCAGGGTCATGTGTTATCCTGGGCATGGGAGCCCTCCTGGCATGGCTGGGGGGACAGCAGCAGCTCCTCTCTTTGTGAGACCATCTCTGAGCTGTGAGGGCAAGCCTGGCACTGGATATTTGCCTTAAAATTTAAAAAAAAAATTAAAATAAGAGAGGGAAGAGGCAGTTGGGAGCTGCAGTGTGCCCTGGGGCTGGGAGCTGGGTGAGTGCAGCAGCTGTCCCCCTGTAAATCACACTGTCCCCCTGTAAATCACACTGTCCCCCTGTAAATCACACTGTCCCCAGCCCAGCACTGGGCACTGAGGTCCCTGCTCAGTGGGCACTGCCCTGGTGCCAACTGCTCGGGGTTGTCAGCTTCTGCTTTTGTTTTGATGGTTTTCGGTATTTTTCTCCCTTTTTTGTCACAGGAGCAGCCCAGAATAGGATCACGAGGTCAGTGTTGATGACTTCCCAAATAATCTCTAGCCTGGTTTTGGTGCTGACACCGTTTGGAAGGCAGTGTCACTGCTGCCCTCATGTTTGCATGTGACACCACTGCTCGCTGGCTTTTCCCATTTCATAACTAATGAGTGAAGTGAGCTTGACAGCCTTGGTTTCAGCTTCAGCCTGTTGGTTCCCATGTCACAGACAGGCTCTGTTAGCAGCAAATTCTTGTCAGGAGAAGAGAATTACAGCTGGAGCTTGAAATGTGCGGGTGTTCAGTGCAAAGCTTTAAATTCTTGACCAAAGTTAGATAAAGGCAGCTGAAAGTGTGACGTTTGAAATGCACTATCTATTTGTCTTTTCCTCCTCACCAAAAATACCTAGAGTGGAAGTATGTGTATTTGCATCCAAGCTGAGAACAGTTGAGCTCCTCTAAAACAAAAAGGATAAACACAGCATTTAAAATATTCTGGGTTTTAAAATCTGTGCAATTTTCCCTTGCCCTAGATATGTGTAGATTATCTGTATTGAAAGAAAGAGGTATGTATGGACATGTCTTTAAAGAAAAAGGAATGGTTAGTTCTCAAGGTGTGGGAAGACTATTTAACTGGTAATAAGAAAAAAATGTTAGTTCTCCCCCAGCAGTCATTAATAGCTCTGAGCTCCAGCCTGAGTGCAGATGGAGCTTTGATATGATCACACTTTTGCAGGGAGAATGTGCTGTATATCCTGCTGCTAATCCTGGGCTGGAAATCAGCTCCTCCCCACACCTGCTGCCAGGACCTGACACAACTGATCTCAGAGCAGCATTTGCAGCCTCCTGGGCTGGAGTTTGGATTTGGGCACATCCCAGCTGGGTCAGGCACTTTCTCTGCCTGCTGCCCTCCTGTAGAGCCTCCCTCAGAGCCACCATTCCCTGCTGCCCTCCTGGGTGCCCTTAACCCCTTCCATTCCCTGCAGCCCATTTCTCCCTGGGGCTGGGGCTGCTCCTCCCTCTGGGCGCTGCAGGGTTTGTGCTCACTCATTGCTCTCAGTTCTGGCTCCCAGCAGGATGGGCTAGCCCTGATCCCAGCCTGGAACAGCTGGGAAATGCAGCAGCTCCTGGGGTCCATGAGGAACAAGTGTCTGAGGAGCTGGGAGCCCTCAGGCAGCTCTGGGCTGCTTTAGGGAATGCCCTTGAGAGCCCTCCTGGCTGCCACAAAAACTGGAGTCAAACAGGGATCCCGATGGTTTTGGCCTCTTTGTTAACATTTGGCAATCACATCTTGTTATTGAAAAGTTTTCTCAATGAGTGGAAGACTGGAGGGGGTTTTGGAGGAGCTTTTTTGGTAATGGTTTGCAAAATGTCTGGTTTGGATCTGAAGGGACCCTTAGCCTGACCTCTGGTGTAGAACAGAGAGCATTGAATTTCCTGCACTTAACTCCCAGAGTCTGTCCAAGAGCTGCCTAACCACAGTGCCTTCCTAGGGGAAAAATGCTCTTAAATGCACTCATTTCAGCATGGTAGAAATGTTTCTTATCCCTGATAGGGAGGAATGGGATTTTCCAGAAGGGTCTGGAAGGAGAAACTTCTGACCTAGGCTCTCCATGCCTTCCCCCTGACCTCATCCCTGTCCCCAAACAGCACCCTGAGATCTGTTTGTGTCCTCTCCTGGTTGTGCTGGAGGTTGGAGAGACATTAAATGAGCTAAAGGGGCAGAGAGGGAAGAGATATCCATTGGGGAATAAAGGGGCAGGCATGCAACCCATCTCAGCAGGGACAGGGTTAATGTGACCTTGCCCCACATTTGGGTGGGAAATTTCCAGCTTAAACCAGTATTTATTATTCCACACAGATGTTTGCAATGACATATGAGCCACCAGTGCTGCTGTTTTGCCCAAACCCTGTTGGGCCAGGCACAGAGCAACGAGGTGTCCCTGTCCTGCAGAGGTCTCAGACTCACAAGGAAATTGATTTTCTTTGTCCACTAATTTCCTCTCCCAGATTTAAAGTGCAATGAAAAATAAATGATTTGAAGTGACCTCTTGAGATGGATGTGCTGCCAGCAGGCACCGACCTGCCTTGGGTAATGGAAGGCTGGGGGTTCACAGATTTAGAAAGCTGCAGTGCCGCTTTGCTAAAGTGACACAGATTAAGATATTCTAGAGATTATCTTCCAAAAACATGGTGGTCAAGGGCTTAATGACTGAAATTGTGGTCAAATGTCTGCTTGTTATCAATTGTCTATTGCCAGTTAAACTGCATTAATGAAAGTCTCTTGATAAAAGCTGCCTTATCACCCGGAACTGAGATACCCAGCCTAATGTGCTCCAGCAGGGCTGGAGGAAATTCTCTTTTCAGCAGCAGAGGAGACGAGGTGTCGCTTTCCTGAATTAGGCTGACTCAAATGGATGGTCAGGCCCTCTAGAAAGAAGCAATTTCTTTCACCTTTTGTGTAAAGGGCTGCTTTATCCATGTGTCAGAAAGGGTTCTGGCTGTCTTGCAGGAGCCAAGCAAACACACCTCGCTGGCCATTTGCAGGGGCTGGAGGCAGCATCACTGCACCCTGAGGGGATCCACAGCACAGCCCTCTGCCATAACCACTTACTTCCTTGGAGAAAATGGGCTGAAAACGGTATTTAACATTGTTGGTGACAATTTTTACAGATTTATTACCTGGTTTTTGTTCACTGTTTGGCTGCCTGCTCCCCTTCCATCTGCCAGCCCTGTAATCCACCTCCTCTTATCTCAGCACAGCTCTCTCCACCTCTTGCTCATTTTCATTTTATTGCCTAGCTAATCTCATCCTCCTGCTTTTCCTGACACTGCTCCCTCCTCCCCATCTGTGGAGATTAAATCACTGCTCCTTTTGTCTGATGCCACTCAACATTCCCCCATTTCACTCGGGCTTTGGGATGCTTCCAGGCACTTCTGCTGTTGTTGCACACATCCGTTTTCCTGGCACAAAAAGGCCCAGCAGCATCTGATGGGAGTGTTGGGGAGTCCTCTTTCAACCAGTTCTCAGAGGTGTCCTGAATCTGAAATGGAGCCCCGTGCAGCACAGCCAGGTGAGTGTCTGCAACACCTGGACCATCAGCAGGATGCTCAAGGCAGCTCTGCAGTGCTGACAGGGCTGGCACCTGAACATCTGAGAAAATTCTAGACCAAAGGTGTGGCTAAGAAATCTCCAAGCTCTCAAAATGTGGTGTTTTGGAAGTGTTTTCTCATTTTATTCTAGTCAACCATCTTCCCTGTTGACAGCCTGGCAGTGTTCATGGCCTCAACACTTTTATTCTAATAACTGCTGAGGGTTTTGGGCCAAGCTTGAACAGTTCAAGGGTGTTTAGTTCATCCTGGGATAACAAGCCCAGGTAGGGACACTGGATTTTCATGCCATGTGTTTCTGGCACCCTTTCACCTTCCTGTAATGCTGGAGATTCTCAGCAGCAGCTGCTCCACCTGTGGGATTGTGCAAGGCCTCTGAAGGCACTGCAGCTCATGTGGGCTCAGCAGGGCCTTTAACTCCCCAGAATATTCAAACTGTGTTTCAGGGACACATTCCCTCACAGGGCTCCTCACAGCTGCCACTCGCTGTGCTGTGAGCACCTCAGTGTGTTTGCTGCCAGAACAGATCCTAAAGTCTTGGTTCAAATTTTGAGTGATTCTCACTCCAAATGCATGGGAGATGGTCCCCTTAGCAAGGACTCCTGCTGTCTGGCCCTGATAATTGAGTTTAAATGTTCATTTTTATGCTGTTTGAGTTATACTTTTTGCCTTAATCTCAACTTGCAATACCAACCATGGTGCATTTGCTGTATCTCCCCTCACCACCTTTATCTGCCAGCATGTTTTAAATTACTTTAAAGAGTATGGGAGCTAAAAAAAAAAAAAAAAAACCAACCAGAAAAACCCAGGCAACTTCAGCTGAAAGGCAGCAGCATGCCTTTAAAATAGAGCAGCAGCCCTGCACAAGGTGCCGAGCCAGTGGGAGCATGGCGGGCAGAGCAGAGGCTCTGTTTAAACAGAAGGTAAATAAGTGGCTGGGGGAGCTGCAGTTCATCTTGTTCCCTTACGTGGTGCCCAGATAATGCAGCAGATCCTCAGGCAGGCTGGTTCTAAAAATGGCCACAGCTCTTGGGTTTCATGGGTGACACCGGGCCGCCCGTGGGAGCAGCGCCATGGGATCGTGCCAGGGAAATGGCATTTGGTGCTCCTCAGCCAGCAGCAGTGCTCAGCTCTTGCCACTCTTGCTGCTTTATGAGGAGGACTTCTGCAGTGAAGATTTTGTGATTTTATACCCTGGTGCTCAATGCAAAATTGCTGCCTGTAAATCCCTGGGGTCAGGCAGGGTTTTGCTAAAATTCCCTTTCCTGCTGTGGTTGACCTGTGAAATCAGCAATCATCTGACAGTGACAGCAGCACTTAATTACTAATTCAGGATTAAAGTGGGCTGTCCAGTGAGTGATTTCACAGGAGCAGAGTTTAGGATTGAAGCTAGTTTAATATAACAATTGTCTTGAAAGCCTCCTTGGCATTTTAATGGTGTTTTTCTTCGGTCTAAATATATATGAGAAGTTGAGAGGATGTTTAAATCTGAGCAGGGTATAAAAGGGACCAAGAGAAAGACTGAAAGGTCCTGTCCAAGCTCCACCCAGTTGTGTGAGCCCATGGCTTCCCTAGGCCAGGGCATCATCCCAGGAGCTGCAGCAATCACCATTCCTCTCACTGCTCCAGATGAGCATTAACATCTTTACCTTCCTTGTCACCCTCCTGTCTCCTGCCCAGCCGAGCTCAGCTCAGTGCAAAGGACAATGTTTGTTACCCTTCAGTGGCTGCAGCAATGGCCACCCAGCCCTTCCCTGCTCCCAAGGAGACTGTGTTTGCATTGAGCATATGTTGCTCACTGGAATGGAGAATTCTCCATTTTTTCTAAATGAGTTTTCTCAGGCTGTCCCTGTTCAGCAAATTCAGGAGAGAAAGGGCAGCAGTGCCCCTTGGCCAGAGCATGGTGAGCACTTCTGTGCTCCTGCAGGAGAAAACAGAGTGCAGCCTCCCCATGGCAATAGAGTGATCCTCTGTTGGGTGAATTGTTGCTTACAAGGTTAATTAGCTGTAGAAAATGAGCTAGAATACTTGGGACTAATGAATCATAATGAGTCATTATATTTGAGGAGTGACAAATTAAATTCATGCATGTTTTGGACTACTTGTTTCACTCAGAATGGAAAATAGTGCTATGCTTTCTTCTGCTGTTCTGCTGTTGTGTCAAGATGTCAGGAGATAAATCAATATGGCCAGAGCTTGTAAAGTCTGGCACTGCTTGATTTCATGGTGTTTAATCTCTCTCCTAGCTCCTTGAGCTGGGCTAGGAGCAGGAGATCCTCTGGAATCAATACTTTTGCTTCCACCTTCAACTTCAATACTTTTGCTTCCCTCCCTTCAGGAGGGATTTTGATCTGTTACTGAGAAATCATGAAGCTTCTCCTAAGCTAAAAGAGAGAGAGAAAGAAAAAATAGTTGTGATGTCCTAATACCATGAGGGGTAGTGTCCTCTGGCAGCTCTGGTTGAGGTGTAGCACCCTCATCTAGGGAAGTACATTAAATTACAGCTCCACCTCAATACCAAGGTGAGTCAAAGAACCTCTTGGAACCAAGAATTCGTGAGATCCTTCAGCTCCTGCTGCCCCCAGAGGAATCTCTGGAGTTTTTCTGTGGAATTAGACCAAGCAAAATAGCCAGACCAGGAGCAGACAGACATTGTGACCCCTGAAATACATGGGAAGTAAGGATAAGCAAGCTGCTCCTACCTGGAAGATAACTGCTGGAATCTCAATGTGAGATGAAGGACACAGTGAAAAAGAGGATCTTGATGAAAGAATTAATTCTTAGTCTCCTTCAAGCATTATAATACGTCCCTGGTGAGCTGAAGCCTGGCACAAGCTGCTGTGCTTGGTTTGGGGTTTTTTTGCTGTTGGTAAAGGTTCAGCTAGTTCAGGACTGGAGGAGCTGTGAGCAGTGGGAGGGTTTGAATTCACAGCCTTCCTTTTAAATATATCAGCGGTTCCAGCAGGGCAAGTGGGACTGCTGCTGACTCAGTTCTTTGCTGGATTGATGCTTCTGGAAGTGTTTGGAGAGATTTGACAAATCTTTCTGTCTGTTGAAGGTACCATGGCGTTAGCTTTTTGTCACCACTGGGAGAAAACATCTTTCACACCATCTCAGAGCAAAGAGCACTTTGGGGCTCAAAGACAGAAGGTACCAACTGGCACTTGGTTTTGCTACTAATTATGTACCAGAACCCAATGTAAGTTAGGCCCAAATTAGTGCATTTCTCCAGATGTTTTCACAGTTTCCCTGCTTGCAGCCCTGTGGGTTGTGTTCTGAGTTTTTAAGCACTCATTTTGGTCCTTTCCACTCCACTGTTGTGGTTGGTCCTGGCAGGGTCAGGTGCAAACTCCCACTTACTCAACACTGTAAGACATCAGTGACACAAAGTGGGAAATTCTCCTTGGGGTGCAGAGCTCCTTCAGGAGGCAGCCAGACCTGTCCCTGTGCTTGGACATGTGGGTTCATGTACAATATCTTCTGTGAAAGCAGCTATTCTTGCTCCTGCCAGGCTGCTCTGAAGACCCATACAATGATGTTAATTGTAAGCCACAAGCTGGCTCTTATCTTCAAATTGTTTTTCCCTGACAATTTTAAGAAGAGCTCAGCATGTTCTCAGTAGGAGCTGATAGATGCTAAGCACTTCTGAAATCCTGCCAGCTTCATTTAAGTTCCTAAACAGGAACTGAGTGCTCTTGAACATATGATCCTAAGGGTGCATTTCATAACTCTACAGCTCTGTCCATATCATTCCTTTCCTCTCTGCCTGTCCCCAGAATGCTCCTGGCAGCAGCAACAACACCAGGAGCACCAGGCTAGTCAAGGCTTGAGTGATGTCTCAGTTAGGATGTCAGCTCAAGCCACACTGAGCAGATTTAAGTGACAGCAGTTAAAAGGTGCCTGTCTGCATCCTGTGTGCAGTGATGTCCCCATCATCGCCGCCAGCACTGCGGATATATTTGAGATAGCTGTAATGGATTTTATTTATGGACATGAAAACAATAATCTAGTGCAAATCCTGCCTTGTTTTTCAGAGTATTTCATTCCATGTACTTGACAATGCTCTGACTCTCAATTTCAGGACTCAAATTTTCTCCTCAGCAGATTCTTGGGTCAGATGTAATGAATATTTTGCAGTGTTCATGGGGCAGGGGAGGAGGGCAGACGGGCCTTTATCTGAAGCTTTTCCAGCAGCGTGAGTGCATGGACAGCGTCTGTGTTGGTGCTGTGGGGCTGACATCCTCTCCAGCACACTTGGCAGCGAGCGCAAGGACCACATGTCAAAAATCTGGGGGGCCCAAAGGCTGCGGACAAAAGTACGGCAAAGAATTTAAACATCAGTGAGTGGAGAGCGGCTGGAGGGCTGGGGGAGCGATTAGCGCAGTGCTCTGGAATGCGGCGCTTCAATAGCGCTCCA